GGCGACAACATTGACTACGGCTACCGCTTCGCCAAGGAGTTCGTGGACGCGCGCGAGCGGGAGCGCATCCACGCCAAAGGCTCCTACGAGAGCGCGCGCATCCTCATGAACCTGCACAACAACGAGGCCGGCCGCAGGGTGAGTGCCCCGTGGCGTGCATGCTGCTTCCCTTTGTCTCCCCCACAACCCAGCCGGCCTCTTCCGGCCTCTCTTCCCCTCCCTCTGCCTCTCTCTATAGGTTCCTGTCTCTTTGTCTCTCTGCATCTCTGTCTCCCTCTTTCTGTCTCCAACCCCCTTTCTTTCTTTTCTGCTCTCCTTCCCTCTCTCCCTGTTTGTCTTTTTTTCTCTTCCCTTCCTCCTGCTCTCTCCCACTCCTCCACCCCCACCCCAAGACCTCAAGCCTCTGGGAGAGGGGCATACACCCCAGAAAGGCCTCCTGGGGGTCAGTGTACCTCCAGCCAAGGTGCTTCTGCAGGAGCCTGACAGAGCTTTCTCTGCCCCTTTAATTAGTCCCCAGTGCGATTGGCCCGCCCAGCTTGGAAGTAAAAAAGTTAGCAACGTTTGCCCCCCTCCCTGGAACAGGTCTGTGGCTGGGCTGAACTTTGGGAGAGTGAGTTCTTTATCCAGTATGTGCCTAGTTGAGAAACCCTCACCCCAGTCTCCAGGATTTACCTTTCTCTTCCCTGTGCCAAGCTTGATGCACTGAAGGCTTTTCTTAAAAAAAAAAAAATAAAGAAAGAGAAAAAGAAAAGAGAGAGAGCTTTATAGGAAAACTACAGCATTTTTTAGTCTGACCATCAGCCCAATTGTGGGTGCCTCTGGAGGGATGAGAGAGCCACTCAGAAGTGCCCAGAGGGGACCAAATCTGCAGGCCCTCCTGAGTGTCCCCATTCTGCTCCCTCCTTCCACAATAGTTAAAAGGACCCCCTTTCCCTGCAGGGAAGCACATGGCACTTTATGGCTGCTCTAAAATGAAGGGGTGAAAACTTTTCTTTGGCAGCATTGAAAACTAGGGTCATTATTTTTTCACAGAGCCCCTGGGAAAGGTAGGTGCCAGGGACTTTCTGGTCAGAGATTTCACCCTTCTGTATTTTGGGGTGAGGAGAAGGGAAGATAATCACAAAGTCAAATATCCAGAACTAGAAGGAGTCTTAGAACCCTCTGGCTACACACTCCCATTTTAAAGATTCGGAAACTGAGGCCTAGAGAAGCACTTCATGGCTGTGGAAGAGAATTAATGGAGTGAGATGTAAACCAGGTGCTTTTTTTTTTTTTTTAATAAACTCATGCATCAGAGCTTAGGGATGAAGGGATATAGCTTTTGGAAACAGCAAAATCTAAAATCCAGTTCTGTCTGTATCTTTCTGTTTCTGAGCCTCAGTTTCCGCATTTCCACATCTGTTACATGGCCATGGCATTACCTTGAAATTATCTTGAGACTAACAGGGATCATATAGTAGGTTGAACCATGTGAAATACCAATATGTGACTATTTCTTACCTACAAAACAACAACTTCCTATGGTTCCATCAAAGGTCTTCCTTTAGTATTGGCCAATAGTAAACGATAAATGATAATTACTAAACTTTAGGAAACAGAAGATATAGACCATTGCAGCTATCCTACCTTCTCGGATTTGATGCCAAACATTTGGTGGTGGAGGGGAAGGACTGAACTCTGCACATTTGTGCCTGTGCTGCCCTGAGGGGTCAGATAATTGCTCCAGAGGGAGTGTGGCCTCTCCTGCCTCAGGTTGTCTACCATAGGGCGTCTGAACTGTCTCTCCCCAGGATGGCACACCCAAGGCTGTGCAATGGGCATGTCAACCCTGCTCTCTCTGGCAGCCCAGAGACCTTGCTCTTGTGCGCATCAGAGACACACGCCTTTACTCTCTGGTGCAGTGGCCCAGCGCCTCAGACAGGACATGCCCTTGGGACAGAGATGTGGCTGCTGCTCTGGGCCCACTCTGCCCATATTCGGTGCTTTCATCCATCTTTGAAGATTTCCTACACTTCTCTCATGTAGAAAAGTCATCAGGGGCTTAGCAACCAAGGAGAACAGGTCAAGGGATTTCCAAGTGAAGGGAGGGAATTTTGCAGAATTGGAGAAGTACCTTTAATATTATAATTTCATTTAACATCTGCTTTTTTTTAATATTGAAGGATTCTCCCCATAAGTTTTCTAATTCGAGCAGTGAGCTGAGCGTGTATCCTGGCAGATGAGGTTACATAGAAGACAGTTTTTCTCCAGGCTGGTGGGGGTGGGGCAGGGAAGTTGGACACTGTGCCAGGAAATCCCATTAGCATCTCCTCGGGACATAGCTTTTTATTTTCCTCAGGGGGGAGTGAAGGTTAAATATGTTTGCAAAACCCTTCCTCAGACTAGCTGTGCCTGAAACTCTTTATGCCAAGGGAACACACTTGGGCCCCCTTTTTAAGAAAGCCCCTGCAGAACCCCTGGAGGAAGGTCGTGGCTATGCTGGGTGGAAGCAGCCTTCTAACTGACTCCAGCCTCCAGGTTCCTGCCAACAGCACTCGGACTCTGGAGGGTAACCGGCCCAGGCCCTGTGGGCCATCAGGGCTGTAAATAGGCAGCCGCCACCTCCCGGACTCTGGGCACAGTGCTCTGAGGCCAGACCCGAGGCCCAGGTGATTGGGAAGGGCCCAGATGCCATGCCCTTGTCACCCTGGAGAAAGACCAGAGTTACTGATTCCATCCTGCACGCTAAGTACTTCCAGAGCATCCTCTAATTTATCCCGACGACAGTGCTGTGAGGCTGCCGCCACCACAGTCCCCTACACAGATGGGAAGTGGAGGCTCCGAGAGGGCATGCCTGTAGCTTGAATTCAGAGGCAGAGTCAGGAGAGAATCCAGGTCTGCCTGGTCTAGGTCTGTGCTCTCAGCCTAGGTAGTGGAGGGAGGGGTAGAGATGATTCAGGAAGCAGGCGGGAGAAGATCTGAGATCCAGGCCCAGTTCTCCCACACTCTAGCTGTGTGGCCTGTGCAGGCCACTTTCCTTCTCTGTGCCACTGTGTCACCATGTAAACCAGCCTGTGTGATAACATTGCTGGGAGGATTAAATGAAAGAAAAGAATGTAAAGGCTCTTGATACAGAGCGTGGTACAGAGCAATAATAGTGATAGTGAGTAGAGATCTGGGCCCTGATCCTACCTGGGCTGGACCCCTCCCAGTCTTATCAGTTGGGTACCCACAGGCAAGTCCCTGAGCATGAGCTTGGAGCCCAACTGCCAGGGTTCAAATCCTGGTACCCCTGCTTCCCATTAGTTGGGTAGGTAACTCACCTCTCTGGGCCTCATTTTCCTTCTCTGTGAAATGGGAATGATAATAGCACTTCCCTCATAGGCTGGTTGTGGGGATTAATCCAGGTGGTGCAGGTAAAGAACTGCTCACCAACTCTGGGGAGAACGTTCAGGCTTGTTTGTTG